ACTGTTACTTGTAGGTACCCTTCTCAGTTGAAATTAAAACTCAAATTAACTTCTCCATACGTGTTTCATTAAAAAGTAAAGGGCTTAACAGCGGAGAACAATGCTGAACTCAAATAATGCAACTAAATTGTATTCTGATTGGTCTTCCGTATTTGATAATTACTGTCCGACTATAAACACAAAAATTACATTTCTTAATTACCATGGCTAATCTGATTGGTCCAAATTATACAATTTTCAAAGCGCTAGACAATGACAATCTCACATGGACATTTTGAAAGGTTGATGTTGCTTTTAACTAATGTTAAAATGTTTTTTTTAAATTCAATTTAAACATTTTTTAAAAATCTTTTTAAAATTAAAGAAATAAGAAATAATTGTATTAAAAATTCAATTTTCATTGAAAAAATTTTTTGCTTTCAGAAAATATTGTCCATATTCATAAAAAACAAATTAAAACAAATAAAAGCATTTGAAACTAAATAATATATTTGTTTTATTGAGTTTTTGTATGTTGCAATTCACAGCTGATTTTCAGGTACACTGGCCAAAAAAAAAAAAAAAACATGATTTGCATTCTTCAAAGCCTTGTGCTTTTAACTATTGTAATCACTAAAACCGATGGTCTCAATTTCTAGAGTTTTTCATAAAATTAGTTATGGGGTGTTAATAAATATAAAAAAATATTTCTGCCATGACTTTAAAAAAAAAAAAAATATTTATAATAATTTCGATCATCTGTGAATAGTTTCTGAAAGTTTCATTAACATCTGACAATTATTTTTATTTTTGCAAGATTTTCCAAATTAATGTGTGTAAATACAAAAAAATGCGCTAAAAATTATCTGTTATTTACTACCCCATGTTGCGACAAAGAGAAACAAGGTTTTTTAAATCAAAATTTAGAATATTCTAAAATGATGGAAAAATTTTTAAAAAACTAATTAAAAAAAAATTTAGTCTATCCTCTTCATAAAAAAATAAGCATTTTGACGATAAAACTTTGTTTTCATAAACTTTGGCGTCTTTTTCATCAGACTATGCTCTATGTTTTAGCGATTCCGTGGAGTGACTTACGTTAAAAAACCCAGGTTGTGTGTAGGTGTGTGTGTTCCTTTATATATGGGATGGATTTCTTTTCATTTTCAGCCGATAAAACAAACATCCACTTTTTTTTTTTCGGCAGGTAGTATTTCTTATTGTCTTGCATTTTTTTTTTCTTTATTTACATTCAGAATGCTTTAAAAATTCCATTTACAAGACAATTGTTTATAATAAAATTCTATTCACCAATCGATAGACTCATAACGATTGTAAACAATGTTTTTTGTTTGAATTTGGGTTTGACCAATTCAAAAAAAAAAAAAAAAAAAAACTAATTAAGACATGCGTGTCCATCAACCTTAAACAATAATCTTTGTCAATTTTATTTTTCAGTCTTTATGATGGTCGATACTTGATCTATCTCTTACTGTTACATCCCCGGGCTCTACTGCTAGTTTTTTCTAAATTCAAAAGCTCTGCATATTAAATTTTTATTTTATTTTCTTTATACATGTATTCAGCACTTTTTAATACTACTGTTTCATGGTCTAATTCAACTCTGACGAATAACTCTTTTATAATTTTATATATATATATATATATATATAATAAAATCCAAAATTACCTCATATAGGGAATAGTCTATTTCAGCAGTTAAAGATATCAGTTGTCTGTCTTATCAACTCCAGTGTGGACTGAGTTCATGTCAGAAATAGAAATTTAACTGTTTGGGGGGGAAAAAAAAATCTATGATTTTTTATCGTAAGTATCTGATATGTATGAATAAAAGGATGTAATTTAAACCTATATTATGGAAATTTGAATTTTTTATGTTGACATTTTAATACTAATTCATTACTCTGATTCAATAGTTAAGCTTTGATTATTGTATTTTATTATTCTAATTTTTTCTTCTAAACATAAGTCATACCTATCTCTAAGACTGTTAGGAGTACATGCGGAACCTATAATCTTCCAAACTATCTGTGGACTCAAACTTTTCTCCTAACTTAATTAGCTACTATATTTCCATGATATTCACTCCCCTCTAACTCTTCAAATGTTGAATGTATAACTAATTCTAATTTCTATATTTCCCCACCTCTGTAACCTCTTTACACTATATTAATTATAATTTATAAAATTTCCTCTACTTAAGATCTCCCCAACTCTTTCCATTAATTTCTTACATCTATATATTTTCAAGTTATTTTTAAACCCATTTTTATTCCTCTTTTAGTTTTAATATTTCACTTTTCCTATAACCCCAAATTAATATCATGAGGTTAATATTCAGGTTTAATTTTATAAAACTTCTTCCTTTTAAGACAAATACCTTCCACCCTCCCCTGACACCTGTCTCATGCCTTTCATCTGACTGAAACACTGAAATGGATAAATTCTGTATTAGTTTTACAACTGTTTTTTTTTTTTCTTCAAAGTTAAATTTCTATTTCTGACACAAACTTTGTCCATACTGGGGTTAAGACAGATGACTGATATCTTTGTCTGCCGAAATAGGCTATTCCCCATATGAGGTGGTTTTAGATTTTATTGTTTATTGCTCTGTAACAATAAATAAATTGAGCTCTTTTTGTGGATCATTTTTAATATTTGGATTATACACCAACTCATATGTTACCTTTATATATATATATATATATATATATATATATATATATATATATAGTATGACTGCAAAATAAATTTTAAATACCATAATATTTTTGCAGCATGAATAAATGTGCATAAAATGATTATAAATAAGCTATTGAGGAATAATCCAAATCTTTCCTACAGTTCTCAATGATGGGTTTTCAGTCGAAATTCATCTCATTACCCAAGATGCAACAGAATTTGAAAAACATTTATTACAGTATCAGATCCTTATGAAAAAAATCATAGACTTTGTATCAATTTTGATTTCTCTCTGTTTAAATGCTCAAAAAAAAATAAAGTTTTGGACTTATGTAGATGTTTTTTTTTCCTTAGGGACTTGAAATAATTAAAACAATTGGCATCTTTGAGTATAACTTACCAGTTATAGCAAATGATTACATACCAACTAAGAAGCCAGATTTTTACTTCCAAGGCTATTTATTTACATTAGAAATACCTGTAAAAATTTCATGGATTTCTGATTTTAATTTTCTGATGAATTTTAATTTTTAAGTTAATAAATTTATATAATCTACATATGACAATAAAACAACTTTAATAAAATATGATAACAATCAAATATGAATGCTGGTTGTTATTTTGAGAAGTAAAGAGGTACAAATGAAAATATTTGAAATTGACAACTCTTTCCTCTTCAGTGAAAAAACACATTAAACGCATTATCTTCCTTTCTTTTCTTTTTTTTCTTTCATTTTCTCTCTGAAACCAAGCAGTATCTCTGTTATGTCTTTTCCATATTTCCACACAATCAAAATGGAATAGTCCATTATTTATGAGGCATTGTCAGTGCATAACAGTCATACTAACTACGCAAAAGGACTAGCAGAATTATATTTACATATATGGAGAAAATGTTTTCAAATTAATACAATAAAGCCTTTTGCCTATTACAGTCTGCTTGATAATTAACTCAATAAAAACGTTAATATTTCAAACCTCAATTAATTGCAATCAGTGATAGAGTATAGGCATGAAAGTTTCATCCTGTTAGGTTCCATTTTACAATACTTGCTTAATCATTTCGCACAAATTACCAGATATTAATCCCAAAGAGAGTGCTTTGTTGTGGTGTAATGGATATCAGCTTTGTGTGAGAACTCAGTCGAGTTTGAATTCCAGTCAAGTTCATTAGCTTCACTTATGCACAAATACCCTTGGGAGAGGTATGAATCCATCTCTTCTCCTCCCAACTATGGGTTGAATAGCAGGACAGACTGGGTTCTTTAACCTTGGCTGGCAAATGAAATGGCAAAAGAAATGGCAACCTGCTGCGGGAAAATATTCTGCCCAATCAGTCATGAATAGAAAGATGTGATTGCCCAAGCATGTATCACGTATGACACTTAACTGACTGACTCATAATCAAGTAGTGTTTTTTTGTGTTTTTTTTTTTTTTTTTAAACTTGTAAGATCTACCTGTCCTTAATTCACAAGTATAAATATCATCTATTATTAATCAGTGTTTTTTTAAGGCGATAATTGATAAGTGATTGTCGGGTGATGACAGAAATATACATCAAAGACAAATAGTTTCTGAGTCAGAGGATTGTGCATGGTTCCATTTAAAAAAAAAAATTAATAATTCAAAAATAAATATTTAACATTTTTCAACCAATGGTTCACTTTCTCACCAACAATAAAAACATGCTTTGTGATCCCTTTGAAGGGTATTTAAGCAAAGTTTCCAGATAGACAAACCATGAGGAGAGACAACTGGCAACAGGTCACAACACTTAAATGAAATTTCCTTATTCATTCTCTCATCTACTTCACCAAGCTACTGGGCACTTACACTTTCATCCTAACTTTCTCCTTTGCCTCTTCATTCTCACATATACACACAAAGAAATCACCTTTATTTCTTTTCATCTTGGAAAATAACTACAAGGAAACTACTGTATCCTGGCAAATATAATAACTTTAACACTTATACAGGCTTTAAAAAACACAAAAAAAAACATGAAAATAAAAATATCTTATATTTTTATATTTAAACATTTTTTTGCCTTTTTCTTTGTTGTGGGTTGATTCAAATCTACAACACTACTAATAGGCGGGGGGGGGGCAATGGAAAAAATGTCTTCATCCTCTGTATGTCATAAAACTGTCAGTTCTTGCAATCAAATGAAACCAAGATCTTATTTGATATATTTTTTATTTTTTTTTTGATTTTGCTCTTCTCAGCTTCACTATTTACTTCTTGGATACAGAAACAAAACTTCTTCGAATGCTTCACATAGTATTTAGGATTTTTTTTCTCTTCATATTGGATAATCATGAATGTGGCTTTGTGTGCAATTATCTACAAAGAAGGGCCTGTAAACAAATTTCTTCTTGTACATCTCTCACTGATATGCACTACTTCATGTGTAAGTATATTTACAGAAAGGCATTTAAGTATATACAAACATGTATTTATGTATACACATTGATAGATATGTTTGTATTTATTTTCCGCAATGGGTGTCAATGTTGTTAGCCAAACCCGTTTCCTGAAATCTGACCAAATCATCAAACACCAGAATTTATTTTGGAATTTCTTCTTGGTCAATTTGAGTGCTTTTCAACGCCCCCATACATTATCAATCATTAATTATTATTTAATCTGAGAGAGTATGTGTTTATAAAAATTAGATAGAAATATAGAAAAAAAAATAGGTTTATGTGACACCTATCTTTTCATTTCTCTGTAGCATCCAAAAGAAACAAACACCCATTTTGAAAACCACACATCATGAAATAGCCTATTAATAGGCCAGTCAGTGAGTTATGTGCCATGCGTGATACACGCTTAGGCGATCATGTATCTTTCAATACATGACTGACAAGGCAGATTTTTTCCCACAGTAGGTTGCCGTTTCTTTCTGTGGTAGACCCGTTGCCATCCAAGGCTATAGAACCCGGTTTGTTCTGCTATTTACCCATAGCTGGGAGGAGAAGAGGATTCATACCCTTTCCCAAGGGTTATTAGCAGGTATGTAATGGATTCAACTGGAATTTGAACTCACCTCCTCACCAATTCCTCAATCCGAGCTGCTATCCATTACTCCACTATGCCTCCTGTTAATGGGTAAATAATCAAAAACTGTTATTTTTATGTCCATTAAAAAGCTCTTTTAAAATAGAGCATTGTAATATACATAAGAAAATGAAAATATATATATATATATATATATATATATATGACGCTGAGCAACAACAGTTTGCTTTTTGCTTGATCACAATCATGAAGTAGACTGCCACCGCCACCTTGGTGCTGACTTCACCTTTATAGTTACATAAGCTCTATCCCTGATATTGAGCACTTTTACCCATAAATACCATAAAACTATCTTTATCATATAGTTATTTAATTCATTTACTTATTTATTTCATTAAAATATTCATTTAAAAATGACTTATTGATTCATTTTAAGATTTGATTTTTTTTTTTTTTTTTTTTAAGTGTAACATAAAACCCATTTCCTGTTTCCTGATGGATAACCAAATAAATCTACAGTTCCATATATTTATGTTACTATAGATATAAATAGATATAATTGAAATAGGAACAAAGTAACAAACTCTATGATAGCAGAGCAGATTCACTTTTCTTTTTCTGAATATTTTTTTTTTTTAATCAATTTACCCCAAGCAAGACAACAATGCCATTAAAGTGCAAGTGGTTACTGGGCATGAAAGAGAATGAAAAGACTTTAGAAGGAACTGGAAACTTCTACACCTGTTCAAAAAGGCACAGGAGTTTGAAACTGGATAATAGGTGTACCTGTCTACTCTTATTGAGAAGAAAAATAATTAGTAAATAAAATGATGGAGTTCAGGTAGAGACATAATTATTTGATCGGGAAAAAGAAAATTGTTGAATTTTATTCATCTAGGTGTTATTTAGGTGTTTGAATGAGATAAGTGATTTTTGTTAACTTGTTATAAAGTTTTTTTTTCATGTTCTCTAAACATCTCCACTATATAGTCTTTCATCTGAGAAAAAAAAAAAAACCTAAAAAAACAAATTACATCAAAACTTATGAAATTAGCCCCCCCTTCACACACATTCTTTTTCTTTATCTGCCCATAGATTATGTATTATTTCTACTATTTTTTTCTCTACAGTTTTTTCTGGAATAATTTTTATGATTATTCTGTTTTAAAAGGATTTTAACTTTTAAATACTTAAGGTTTTAAAATATTTTAAAAAAATTTTACTTTTATCTTAAAAACTTAATTTTATAATTTTTTTATTCTCATACAGATATCATTTTAGTTTGATTTCCTAAAATATAATTGAAAAATAATGATTTTGATATGACATGATAATTCCCAGTTCATTTACTTTTGTTGGGGAATGATTTATTTTATATAATTATATTATTTTATATATTTATCAAAGTGGTTAAAATGATATTTTAAGTTAAAATATAAAATTACATATTTTAACAATTTGACATTTTCTTCTTTTAAAACATTTTTTTCTAAATGTACCTCTTCAGTGTCAAGTTACATACACATACTCACATTTTATTTTTAAAATAGACAACACTGATAAAATTCTAAACAAATATTTGGAATTGAATTTTGAAATGTCATTCCCTTCTGAAAAATCCAACATCTGACAACAATCAACCTATTTTCAGTGCTCACTTTACAAAAATGCAACTGCCTGAAGTTAAAAAAAAAAATGTGACTGTTGCATTTTTCTCAGTAGTTTTAAAAGGACAAAATCTCATCTTTTGTAATTGGAACTGTAATTCAGCATGTCAAACATTGGTTCAAATCCTTTTTCTGTTTCTCTCTATTTTGTGAAGTGAGAATACAAATTGTTACTCTGCATAGAAATAAATTTAGCTTGAATTTTTCAACACTATTATTATTACTACACAGCTACAGATATTGTATATTTTTGAAAATATAATTGAAACATGATTGTGATATGATATATTTTTTTTTTTTTTTTGTGAATGATTTATTTTGACTGTAGCACAAGAGAAGGTTAAAATAGTATTTTAACCTGAAATATAAATTAATAATGGCTTAATTTAATGTTATGATATTTAATGCCTTTTTTCTTATATATATCCTTATTATAATTAAAAATATGACAAAGAAAATAAGTTCTTTTTTATTCAAATACAGAAATTATTCTTATAAATTCTTTTATCTATTTGCTAAATTTAGCTTACTCTGGCATAAGGCCATTTTTACAGGGTTCCAAATGATAATGAAACTTATTGCAATAATAATTGTTTTTTAGACTTGCCATAAAAGAAAGCTATATATGTTCCATGTGTCTTTTTATTTTAAAAACGCGAATACGGTAAATTTATTTGTCATATCTTCAGTATACAATTTACACTTATTTCATTTCTACTCGAATGTATAAATAATCTTGTTTCACTGTCTTGATCCTTTAAACTTTGAGAAAACATTTTTTTCCTGAAAGGAAATTAACTTTAAACTATTATGAAAGAGAACCTCTTTTCCCAAAAAATATTAAAATAAAAGATTATACTTGTAAAATATTTAATATTCCAGTGGTAATGATTATACAGAAACCATGATCATAGAACAGGGGTTGGGGTTCAATACAGAAAATGTACAGTTCTGTATACAAAAATGAGAAAAAAATGTCTATATTAGAAATTTTGTCAACTTTTTAAATTTCATTTTCTTAAAGTAATTCTAATTTTCAATTTGAATTACTGCTTTCAGTTAGTCATCTGAGTAAAGTACATTTCTATATGATGTATCTCTTCAGGACATAGGTGATCGTGATTCTCCACAACTTCCTATCCCTTATGACCCTTAGCTGTTTTTCTCATTTTACCAAGCCTCCTGCCCACATTCTGCCATCCATTCGTACCAACTCGTTAGGGGAAGGCTTCAAAATACCTATGTATCTCCCTTGCTCTTAATATGCCAAGTTTTCCAAGCACGCTTTCCTTATGTGTCCAAAATCTTTCAGCTGTCTCTTTCTGCTTCTGAGTATTCTTTTCGTTAGCATTTTTTAAAAATCTTCCTTGTTGCTTACTTTGCCCCATCCATGGAATTCTCAATATCCTTCTGTAGAACTATATTTCTTTTATCTTCAGTTTTCTCTTCATCTGTGGCAAAATTGTCCAGCATTCATTGCCATGTAAGAGGATGGATATCTCATAGCAATTCAGTATTAATTTGAGAATTATATCAAACTATATTGCATCTTCTTTACCTCTAATCTTTTTACTATTTAACCTTCTTGGTATCCTGGAGCATTTGAACACCACACAAAATGTTTTTTCTTTTAATATTTAGCAAGTGGCAAGTTAAAGCTTCATGATTATTTAAGCAGCTTTCTGAATTCTTCTGACAAGTAACAAGGAGTTTTTGGTTTTAGGCATAATATTTATGTGAATTACAAACCGTTTTATTTGTTTACTGAAAATAAAATGAAATCTATTTTTAGATATTTTAATTTTTGACACTTACAAAATCATTTTGTTTTTTATATTGACATTTAATTCAATTTTTCAAATTTTTTTTTATTGTTATTTATCCTATAAAACACAGAAAGAACACTCAAGATAATATAACAAGAAAATTAAGTACTAAATTATATATCTATATTTTAAATGAAGTACTTGAAAACCCTAAGGTACTAATGCTGTGACAATGCTCTACAGTACTAACAGAGGATTCCACTTTCTATGTTTAAGTGTGAATGTTAACTGCTTAAAAGATACATTTCTTTACTTTGTTTAAATATATAATGTAAAATTGGGCAAATAGAACAAATATTTAAAGAAACAAACTAAATCAGTATAATCTTTATTCAATAGGATTACTCCCTAATCATTTTCAGTCCTAAGTTTTTATAAGGAGTTTTCTCCAGTAATAAAATAATTTGTCAGAATCTTCTCTTTATAAGAACAAAAATATGAAATAGTTATATAGAGGAACTTATGAACATTCTTGCTTAACTATAATAAAAATATTTTCATCACAATTTATTTATATAACTTTCTTTTATGGCAGTTTTATATTATGGATGTGGAGAAAAAAAAATGACTTATTAGTATATTTATAATGAAATTGGTACAAAAACTAACATAAAATGTTTGTTCTCTAGTTCTATTTTTCCTCCTGCTTTGAATTTTCTAATTTTATTATTATCGATATTATTATTATTAGTCCTCCACCTTCCTTCCTGATCAAGTTTACTTGCTGCAATTATACTTAAGTTTTACTTTTTAATTTTTGATTAATTAAAAAATATTTGTCTACAGATAACTCCATTTATTGTATTTGCAATCCTACTGGTCATTTCAGTGTTTGACAAATCTGTTAAAGAGTCTATTTTTTTTTGTTTGTTTGTTTTTTGTGCCTACCTTAAAAT